ATATATATATATATATATATATATATATATATATATACACACGTCATTTGCACATATTGAGTAAACATTTTGTATTTCTTGCATATTTTCTCTCTCACCTCAGCAGTAGCAATTTATATGACATTTCTTGGTACCGTGATTACAGTTCTTCATATGTGGTAATTTTCGACACGTATTCATCAGCCATGAATTTTATACGATCTATTGTTGCACATCATACATCTCTTTTCCCGGTTACATCGAGGCGGCTATTACTGTCGTCCCGAGACAAATATCTTTCCTCTGAACGTATGGCGAATCTTACGCGAAATTTTACAGGGTATCGTTTCCGACATCAGTGACAGATCCACGAGACTTACGCAAGCACATCCCTCTCAACGATCGACAATCAATCTCGTGTTCCGACCTGGGTCTCGTATCAAGAGTATCGTCCTCCGTAAACCACACGACGCCACGTTGGACGCGGCACTCACGTGTGAACTGTCTCGCGCGATAAACAGAAGCATGTTTCTTTCTTTTTCGATTCGTGCGCGCAGAACGAGATGTGATTCCACGTGAGTGTTAATCCCGAGCGTGATGGTCGAGTAACTCGAGTTTCTCGAGCGAGTGCGAGTCGAAGGTCTGTCGGCTGTTGGTAACGCATCGATCGAACGCGAAAACCAACGGTCTCCTGGTCCGTACGATTTTCGTACGGACTCGACTTTTTGTGTTTCCAGAGCTCTGCGCGTGAGAATGCGTGTGCGCTCGAGATGACAATTGCGTGCCGTGCAAACTTATACGCGCTCTTCGATCGCGCGCGGCCTCTGAACCTCGCCGAGTGCGCGCGATGTCGACGTTGCGAATTTTTAGCAGCCGCGTTGTGAAGTGAGGAGAGCGATATTGGAATCAAATATATAATGCGTAGTTAACCGCGAGAGCAACGTCCCGATTACGAGGGGTCGCGCCACGCATCTCGGATGAACTACATAATTTTATATAATCCGATGTTCACACTACGTGGAAATGAAAATCGATCGAAGGGAGGGGAGAAATGAATCACTTATAGCCGACTTCGAATGAGACCTACCACTCTGACACACCATCTCAGTGCGACAATATCTGCTCGATACGTGCGAGTAGTCGGGCGCGATGGCCGAGGTAAAAGTGTATAAAGCGGCGAAGTAACTCTCGCGGCAATGTGATTTTATACACGTCAGCGCGAGTCAGTGTGTATATATATTTTATGTACACCGAGTGTGGGGGAGCAAAGTGTGCGGTGGGAACACACGATTGATTCCAAAAGCGGCGGGAAGTAACGAGGATGGGCAAAGACGAGCGAACAGCGAGAGCAGCGGCTACGCTAAATCACCTTATGGACGAGAAGATGCGAATGGATGTGTGAACGTGTTCAATTTCCTCGCGGCGCGGCTTCCTGAGCCGCACGAGCGTGAAGCGGGGCGAATGTGAAGCGAATTAAATTAGCGACGATTTAGGAACCCGTCTGACGTCGTTCATCTCGTTTCATCTGGTCACTTTGAGCCGAGAATAGACTAGTGGAACGCGTTTGCGTACACGCCGCGAGAAGTTACGGCGGTGAGAGATGGATGCGAAGAAGAATCACGCAGGAGGAGCGCGGCGTCGCTTTTCCGAGTTGAAGACACGCGAAAGAAGTAACGCCGTGCGTTAACGCGCTCTCACGTTGCTCACCGGTGACGATTCAGCGGGCTCGTCACCGAGAGAGAGAACTTTCGTGATGAAATGTACGAGCGGTCAAAAAGGTTCGACTCACGACGTTCAATAAGGCCGGACTGAACTCGTCAGGAACATCGCGAAATTCTTGATACGCGAAGCAAACGCAGCGATCTGCGCGGGCAAACGCTCTCCGCCAGCTGATTTTCTGGAATAAAGGAAGACGACTCAGCCTCACGGGCGATGCTCGTGATTGCGCTGTTTCAGGCTGGAGGCGCAGACGAAAGATAGGACTTGATCATGTGAGCAGGAACGGAGTAATGAAGATGACGCGGCATTAGAGGGAAATCTGAGGCGAAGGATAACGCGCCGATAATCGTCTCATTAGCTCACACACGACCGATACATGAGACAGAATGTCGTATCACGATAGGGATCTACAGAGGATCAACGTCGTTGAAGTAAGGATCGACTTTAGGACCGAGCTGTTCACTGAGAAATTCGAGGATACTCCGGTATATTGAGCAGAGATACCTAATAACGGTCGGTAATAATGCCGGCGAATTGCGGCGATGCGAGCAATCAGGAATCGAATGTCTCGCACGTGGAATATGATTGCACTGCCGTTCTTCATTTTTTGAGGTAACGAAGTGCGATGGGGAATCTGCTGCGGTACTTCACAGGTAATTTCATACATCAAGAGGGACGACCTAAGGACGTTGGTGAGCGTGGTTCAAATGCGAATCGCTAAGTTAAACGTGGTACGTTAAATGTGTCGCGACGGGAATTGTTAATGGCCGCTCGATATCGGGTCGACTCGTCGTGCGACTTGCAGCGCGCTAGTCTGCGTCAGCATACGTGAGAGACGAGGAGAAGGATCGGGGGGGAGGGAGACAATTTGCTGGCAGTTCGCGAATTAGATCGTCTTACTGTAACGAGACAAGAGACAAGAGAGAAAGAAGGTGAGGAGATATAAACGTCGAGTACGCGACGTTCCGACGTTGAATCTCGCGTTCGCAAGAATCGAAAAACGCGAGGAGCGTCTCGGAGAGTACCTCACGACGAGATGCGTCCCTACTCGCGTTATTTTTAATAGAGCAATTTTAAGAGAGGGGACCTACATACTCGATACTCTTGGGAGGTCACGCTGTAAATATCGCGTACGATAGAATCGAAACATATCCAATCATATGAGCGAAGCGAGCGAGAGTAATCTAGCTGAAGCGCGAAGAGCGCGCCGACGTTGTTCGTAACACAAGCCTTGCAAGGACAATCTTTTGAGTATTAGAATTTATATTGACGCGAAAAATAAGAGATAGAGACAGACAGAGAGAATAAAGAGACAAAGAGAGAAGGGGGGAGAGAGAGAAAGAGAAGGAGAGAAGTCGAATCGAAGTACTCCTACGCAATCGAATCTAAAATATGAAGTCCGCGCCATCAAGCGGAGATAGAATCGCGAGGCGACGACCTAACGAGTCCAAACACGAGAAAAACAAGCGAGCCTCGCGATTCGCGCGGGAATTAAATCACAACGATCCGATTTCCGGCGGGCCGCTCGTCGTACGTCGCTCTTAAAGACGGAGCTAAGAACCTGCAGAGCACTCCACGCGACAGAAGCGCACTAGAGGTCCGTAGGTCGGCGACATCCACACCAACAACCGGCCGTCTCTGGAGCGAAGGGCACTCACGTCCGCACTCATGTCGAGACCGTATTTCGTTGCGTCGAGCAGCGGCGACTTGGGGAGTCAACAAAGGAAATAGTAGATCGAGTCGTCGTCATCGTAATCGTGACACTTGATTCTCGCTTGACCAGCCGGATCGTCGTCGTCGTCGTCGTCGTCGTGGTCGTGAGCTCCTCGCGTTTATCCGCGAACGATCGCAGATCGATCGACGACGACTCGCTGTTGTTTCGCTGGAACTTTGTGACGGAGCTTGCTGCATAGCTGATCCTGAATGTTTCGACGTTGAACGCGTTAGGGTGCCGAGGTGGGGGGCGCGTGGTCTTGCTGCCTGCCGTGCGCCGGCGGCGGCGGGGGTGGTGCTGCTGTCTCGGGGGCCACCCCCGAGGCTAAGAAGGGTTCCGCTTTGCTGAAGCATCAGCACTACCAGCAGCCCCATCAGCAGAAGAAGGGCCAGCTGCACGAACATCAGCAGCAGTCGAGGGGCCAGCTGGAGCAGCAGCAGCAACTCCAGCAGCAACACCATCAGCAGCAGTACCAGCAGTATCAGCAGCCGAAGCGCATCTGCGTGGCGCACGTGAAAGAGCGGGCGCCCCTCAGCGACCTTGATGAGGACCTAGACGACCTCGACGACGAGAAAGAGGTCGAGCTCAGGACCGAGGAGGAAGACTACGCCAAGGAAGGCGGTACTCAGCACAGACTCAGTCCACGGCTGCACGACATCGAGGAGGAGGACGATGAGGAGGGTCGTAACATTCGAGAGAGGTCAGTTGCTCTCCGAGTTTGTGTGGATCCTTGGCTTTGGGGATTTTCGTGTTTGGCTTCGAGCTCGTTAGAGGCTCGTTCGGAGTCCAAGCGGAGACGCGTCTTTTGTCTCTCCCCCTCGCTTTTCTTCGTCGCGACGATCGCTGCTTATTTCTTCTATACTTGTGGTTTTCTGATCAAGTTCTTGGCTGAAGTATACATCTCTCTCTCTCTCTCTCTCTCTCTCTCTCTCTCTCTCTCTCTCTCTCTCTCTCT